GCGTGTGTGTGTGTGCGTGTGTGTGTGAGTGTGAGTGTGTGTGTGCGAACGTGCGAGTGAGAGAGAGTGTGTTTGTGTGTGTGTGCGTGTGTGTGTGTGTGTGTGAGCGTGCGTGTGTGCGAACATGCGGGTGAGAGAGAGGGTGTGTTTGTGTGTGTGTGCGTGTGTGTGTGCGTGTGTGTGTGTGCGTGTTCGTTTGCGTGTGCGTGTTTGTGTGTGTGTGCGTGTGTGTGTGCGTGTGTGTGTGTGCGTGTTCGTTTGCGTGTGCGTGTTTGTGTGTGTGTGCGTGTGTGTGTGCGTGTGTGTGTGTGCGTGTTCGTTTGCGTGTGCGTGTTTGTGTGTGTGTGCGTGTGTGTGTGCGTGTGTGTGTGTGTGTGTGAGCGTGCGTGTGTGTGAGCGTGTGTGTGTGCGAACGTGCGTGTGAGAGAGAGAGTGTGTTTGTGTGTGTGTGCGTGTGTGTGTGCGTGTGTGTGTGTGCGTCTGAAAGGACAGGCTGAGGTTAAACATGTGTGTGCAGCGGTGCGGCGTTCAGGAGATGACAGAGCATGCAGTCGGGATGATCTCAGGGCCGCTCTGACAGAACGGATGAGGAACGACAGAAAACGCTCTGCCTCTCGAACGGGGGGTGTATTGGCAGGCCTGAGCGCATCCTAAGAGATGATGGATGGCCCAGTCGATGTGTTGTGTCTTAAGAGCCCAGATTCCTGCCAGCCCAATCACGAAGCCTCCAGAGCGCCTCTCAGCTGATTGGACGAGCACAATCATTGTGTGGAAGCACTACCAAGACAAAACACGGCGCGAGTGTGAACGAACGAGGCCATATATCAGGATATTCCAGGAGGACAATGGCATATAAAGCAGCACATCTGGGGCACGAGACTAATACACACTACACTCTCCAAACTGCTGACGCCAATAAGAGCGTATTCCTGCGGGACGTACTCTAGCTGTGATTACAGCAGGATGAACACAGGAAGCTCCTGCTTCATATGACTTTCTAAGTGACCTCTGAAGAAGGAGGAGTCTGGCGGGATTACATGCGTTACATTCAATAAAGATGCGCTCTCATTGTCACGAGCACAACACACACACGCAAACAACCAACATATTAGATTAGATTAATAAAATACAGACTTGAGCTCAAATGTGTCAGGTTTTGCGTCTCTAGATATTTGGTCTAATAAAACATCACAGTAAGAAGCACGATTAATTGAAATAAGACTGAAATCATTATATGGCTTTGTCCAAAGGCTCTGATTTAATTAAATACATGTGCTGTAAGCTTCTCAGTGAAGCACAGCAATACATATCAGTGTTGCAATTGTATAATGCATTAATAAAATTAAATTACTGAAATATTAATATTAAATATTAATAATATTATATTACAGTATTATACTATTTTTCTTAAATATTAATTTTATTTTTGTTATTTAGTCATTTTTATATTTTTAATTTGCAATAATAATAAAACTATTATTATTATTATTATTATTTATAGCTGTGTTGATATAATCACAACATTTTGGCCAAACTGTACAGCCTTAATTCAACAGTAATACTTCTTATTTTGTTTTGTCATTTTAATATTTTTACTTTGTAATAATAATGATATTATTATTAACAGCAAATCTGGATCTTTTTCTTCTTTAAACTGCATTTTAAATCACTTTTGTCTCTCAGAAAATTAGAAATGGGTTTTTTTTCAGGGCTCAAATCGTCCAGCCCTAATAAGAAGGACATCAGGTTTATTCTGAGAAAATTTGTAATATATGGTGTTGAAAGCACAAAAATAACACACAAATATATTTAATAAGCCTGCCTTAAACTCAACCAGCACACTGATGATACTCTCTGTAGACGACTCAAAGCCAGCTCTGATCTCATGTGTTGATCAGCAGGTGAGATTCATCAGTGCGAGGCGAGCATGCAAGCGTTGCTCTGATGTGATGCGGTGTGATGGAGCTCACTGTGGGAACTGAGTCTGCAGTGTCTTCATGCACTGCCTCGTGGGGCGCAGCTGCTCCACGAACCGCCCAATCGCTCGGTACTCGGCTCTGCAGACCTGCATCCGATTCACCGGCTTATCTGGAAGAAAGAAAACACGTGTGTGACCATGGACCCCTCATAAGGGTCAATTTTTCAAAATTGAGATTTACGTATCATCTGAAAGATGAATAAATAAGCTTTCCATTGATGTATGGTTTGTTAGGATAGAACAATATTTGAAAATCTGGAATCTGAGGGTGCAAAAAAATCTAAATATTGAGAAAATCATCTTTAAAGTTGTTCAAATGAAGTTCTTAGCAATGCATATTACTAATCAAACATTAAGTTTTGATATATTTACGGTAGGACATTTACAAAATATCTTCATGGAACATGATCTTTACTTAATATCCTAATGATTTTTGGCATAAAAGAGAAATGTATAATTGTGACCCATACAATGTATTGTTGGCTATTGCTACAAATATACCTGTACAAGCTATACTTGTGTCAGCTCCACAATATCAGTTTCTCCGATATTATTTGATGACAGTGGTGTATAATACCAAGATTTTACTGTAGTAATTAGCAGTGCTGGTTACCATGGCGACTTTGAATTCTATTCAGAGAAAGTGAAAGATCAACACATTTGGAGACTAACAAAACATTGAGTGTCCTAACTCTTAAAACATCTAATAAAACACGGAGAGATATTAAATACTTAGCCATTTAGCAGACGCTTGAATATACACGTGAAGAGAAAATATAATGTTTATAATATGTGTATAATCATGAAACATGAAGAGAGCTGTCAACTCACACACACACAGCTCATAAACACACACACACACAAACAGCTCATACACACGCGCACTCTCACACACACACACACACTCACACACACACACACACACACACACACACACACACACACACACACACACACACACACACAGAGAGACAGAGAGACACACACTCTCACACACACTACAGCTGTACTGTACCTGCGAAAGCCGCGCTGCTGCCAGACACCGAATCCATCAACACCCAAAAAAATGATTAAAAACCTAAACCTAAAATCCAAACAACACTGTAAACACTTCAGACTCCGCCGCTCGCGCTACAGCGTCACTTCCTGATCAACTCCCGCGAACGAGTTCAAACGTCACATAAGAGTAAAGGCGCTCCTGATTGGCCGGAACGATTATTGTCATTGAGTGAAGCTGAAGCTGATTGGAGGATTTTGACGCGACCCTTGCTGTTGGAATGAGGAGAAATAATTCATGAGCGAATCATTAAACATTCAACATTATATGAAGAATAAGTCATGCTTAACGTTAATTAACTTGACAATTGATCTCTTTCAGAGTCAGTTTCAGTCAAATTACAAGTGCAGGATTTTGTTTCTGTACTCGTCTTGCTCATCTGTATAAAAATAATCATTGCATGTTCAACCTGAGGGCGATATTGTATCTAAATGTACATTATGCAATACTTCTGGACAAGATTTTAACTTTTAAAGAAAAAAATGCTTCGTGATATTTGACTTCTATAAATTACAAACTGGCATGTTCAGTGTTTGATAATCAAATTGCATTTGAAGTGTAATTTAGTTATAAATACTGAGATATTTTCTCACTCAGTTTAACAGTAAGTGTGTTTTTTGTCTTTATTTTGAGTGCTACTTTATCATAGTTTGCCGGTCAGAATGTGCAGCAGGGCTTGTAAATCCGGTCTGTTTTATGGCCGGACACACGTGATAATCACAGTGTCTTCAGCGGCTGCGTCTCAAAACATGAGACATGAGCACATGAACTTCATCTCCAGAGCTGCTCTGAGAGTCACTTCAGCAGCGTTACACAAAGCCACAGAATAAAAGATTGGTTTAACTCGACATTAACTAGACATTCTGACAGAAATATTTTACTATTGTATGCTAAAATGTACTTCTCAAAGTAATAACAATAATATCTATATTCAGTCTAAATGTAGCCTTTTTTAATTAAAATGTTATTTTTCCTCAAATGCTTTCTGTTTCTTTCTTTAAGATCTGTTTGTTTGCATTATTATTGTTATTATTATTATTATATTTTATGGAATATCATGCAACCAAGATATCTTTTCATTCATGTTTTAATTTATAAAGCTCTGTTGTGCAGCATATTCATCAACATTTGACAAAAAAAAAAATTGTACATTAATTGTTATATTTTCATTTAATTACATTTTAAAAGATGGATAACATTTTTAGTTTTATGACTTAATTTCAATAGACATATTATGATGACAAATTTTATCCAGAAAAAATAAAATTGAAAACACAGAATTAGGGGAAAATAAAATGGATTTCATGGGCCCCTAAATTACAAAAGATCTTACTCTATGGAACGTTTACTTCCCCTTTAATGGTAAATGAATACCGTGACAAACATCAATATTGTATGATAATGAGAAAATATTTTAATAATATTTTTGGCCATATCACCCAATAAAATTCCCTTAATGCTCACATAACCTAGAAAAAGGTTTATAAAACGTGACATTTTGAGCGTTCTGAGAACCAAATGGGAATGTTAGCAAAACATTATTTTAATTTGGCTGGGACTGTCCATAGAGCAGCATTCAGGCTTCCAGGTTGTTGCTGTTGTTGTGGTTTTATTCCCCCTCTCTCTCTCTCTCTCTCTCTCACACACACACACACACACACTCTCTCTCTATCTCTCACACACACACACTCTCTCTCTATCTCTCACACACACACACTCTCTCTCTATCTCTCACACACACACACTCTCTCTCTATCTCTCACACACACACACTCTCTCTCTATCTCTCACACACACACACACTCACACACACTCTCTCGGTTTTTTTCCCCTCTTTTCGCCATCATTTCTAATATCCTAGAGGCATTTTTCTCATTATCAAATATTGTTTGATGTCTTTGTTTGGTGATGATTAACGGCAAGCACTGAAAATGCAACGTGGGTCTCTAAAGGAGAGAGATGCACGTGTTTTACGCATGCGGTCATTTCTCAGGACCATCATTAGAGTGTTTTCACTCATTTATCTTCATTGTGCATGGCTTTTAAGCTCAGTAAATGAATCTATTAGCGTCTGAGGTTGGAGTATTCGACTGCATTCTTTCACATCTGCTCCTGTGATTCTCTGCAGTTGTTGTTTTCCTGCGCTGGTGCAGTAATGCTTTTGTGGTTGATATGTTTGCATACGAGAGCGATTGAAAACCCATGATATTCCTGACACGGCAAGCAAACAAACAGCCAAGCAGCCCTCGCCGTGTCACAGCGAGACTGAAGATTTGGGCATTGTGTCTCTCTAATGGCATTATCCAGTGAAATCTAAAGCAGAGAATAATGGCAGATATGAGCAGAGGCATTGTGCGGCGTCTTATTTAAACACATTTTGAGAGCGAGGCAGACAGAGAGAGGCAGACGGGTGGCTAAATGAAAGGTTATGCTTTGCCCTGTGTTTGTATTGTCAATAACTGGAGAAGGCTGTCAAGAAAGTGCAGAGATAAAGGTCAATAACTCTGACAAATGTGTTTGTATTTGAAGAGCGGCGCTGATAGCAGCCACAGCATCACAACACTGCAGCTCATAATAACACACTCATTATTTTAACAGACAGAAACACAAGCGACCCAGTGACACTCCACTGTGTGTGTGTGTGTGTGTCAGGAAAATGAAGCGCACTGGATATTAATCTGCACATTCATTATTACATTTATTCTGTAGATTCCATAAACTGATGGACTTTAGCTAAACACACACATTCATAATGCTGTGTGCTTCAGGATCTTTTCATTTCATGTTATTCACTGCCAAATTAATGTCACAAATAACCTTTAAGTAATTCAGTATTTTATATTAATAATTTTTTTTAAATAAACCAATAATTAATCAAACTTTTTAAATCAAACCAATTCTGTATGTTTTGTATGTATGCAGAATTTCAAAAAAATATTTGAGATATTTCAGGATTTTATGCACATTTTTACCATTTGATTTATATATTTATTACATTTATAAATATAAAAATATATTTAGAAATGTACTATTCAAATTAACAAAATTATGTATTGTCTCTATATTTTTTTATTTGAATCTTCCAATTTCAAAATTTTAATTCCCTCTGTTTGTAGATGAATAAATGTAAATGTAAATACTAGCAGAAATATTATTGCTACAAGGAAGCTGAACACTGTTACTGTATGAGTATTTATACTGTGTGTGTGCGTGTGTGTGTGTGTGAGAGAGCGAGAGAGAGAGAGAGTGAGTGTGTGTGTGTGTGTGTGTGTGTGTGTTGCAGTGCGTCCCAGATATTATTAAAATGATAGTTACAGATACAGGGGAAATTTTTATTTTGTATTATTCATGCATTCTGCATTTTGTAAAAAAATCTAAATACAATTTTTTTATTACTTTTACTTTTTAAAATGGTCCTTTTAAACTAAATTCTAAAATGAATGTCATTACGGCTTGAACTGTAAAAATATGCAATATGAATTTGCACATCTCATAATATTGAAGCACTGCAATTTAAGACATTAATTATACATATACTCTAAAGAAATTTGTATTATTACTTAAAAATCGCTGTGGACTTTTTAAACGATCTTTTTGAATTCTAAAGTGAATGTCATTATGGGTTTTACTGTATAAATATGCAATATGAATTTCACAGCTCCTCTAACACACATGCGTTTCATTGATCAGACGAGTGAAGATTAGCATGCTGACCCTCAGGAGTGTGTGCGGATCAGTGCTTGACCTCTGACCTCACACCTGCTGCTTAAACACACTAATAGCATTTAGTCATTGAGGGTATAAATGCACTGAACATCTCTGCTTCAGGAACCTATAGAAACACACAGGCATCTCTTCGGTTCTCTTCATCTCAGTGCCTCGGTGTGCATCAACACTCAGCAGCGTGACAGCCCGTCAGAGAAGACGCTTTTCTATAGTTTTATTTGCATGCTTTTATAGTCCTGTCTGGCTTGTTTTTGAGTGACTATAAATATCTCGGGCTTGTTGAAAATGTGCCGTTCTTTATATGAAGGCATGTTCTGCACTGTGGAAGCAGGGACTGCAATAAACAAATATATATAGAATTACACAAAATAATGACACAACCGCTGCATGATTTACAGTCTGTCAGAGGACAGATATTATAATGTGAGAGTCTGAGTCCAGGCTTTAAAGTCCACATGAAGCAGCGCTTGTAACCCATGATGTGACGTATTTCTGAGTGAAACAATGAACATATGAACGTGGCTAATAATAACAGGGATCGATGATGCACCTGTAAGAAAGCACTTCTGTTCACAGTAAGACCTGGTGCATGAAATAAAAGAAAGTGAATACAGTCAGTTTTCAATTCATGTTGATAGACTGGGATTTCATGCTGTTTGTTGGTCTGCGTTTAGACTGGCAAATATTCATATTAATGATGTATGCATGTACTGTATATTTGTGGCTGTGGGCTGAAAGGGGCATGGAGTTTGTTCATGGCATGTTATACACAACCGCTCTGTGGTAAGTAAAATCTCTTCTGCTCACCAAAGCTGCGTTTATTTGATCAGAAATACAGAAAAAATTGTGAAATATTATTACAATTTAAAACAGTTGTTTTCTATGTGAATATGTGTTAAACTGTAATATATTTCTGTGATGCGCAGCTGTATTTTCAGCATCATTCCTCCAGTCTTCAGTGTCACATGATCTTCAGAAATCAGTATAATATGCTGATCTGCTGCTCGAGAAACATTTCTGATTATTATCAATATTGAAAACAGTCGTGCTGCACAATATTTTTGTGGAAACCGTGATACATTTTATTTTTCAGGATTTACAGATGAACAGAAAGTTCAAAAGAACAGCATTTATTTAATATAGAAATCTACTCTAACATTATAAATGTCTTTACTGGCACTTTTCATCCCTTTAATACATTCCTGAGGAATAAAAGTATTAATTTCAATCTTGAAAAAAAACGACTGAAACAGTAGCATATAATAAGTGTGCTTTTATTAGTGATCTCACTGTTTAGAGGCAGATATGATGGACACACCGGTGAAGCGTTATGAAGTATGACTCTCTCTCTCTGTGTTCTGACTGACTCCATTAATTGAGATCTGA